TTACCATTGAATATGACATATGAATTTAAGTTTTTGAACTTTTGCTTTTTGAGTTTTTCAAATATGTTATAATATCTCCTTAATATATATGCACTTTACACATGTGTAAAAAACAAAAATTATTTATTTTTTCATATTATCAATATATATAAAAAAATTTAAAAAATAATTACGGTCTCGGTTCTATCAAATGAAAAATGATAAGAAGCAAAGGCTTGCAAATAGCTTTGATTGAAGTAGACGGATAACTTATTGTTTTGGTTCATCACAAAAAACAAGGGGTCCTTCTTGTACCTTAGATGTTTTTAGTGTATATCGAAAATAATATTTGAAATAGAAAAAAATTCGTAAAAATTATGTTTGATACGGAGAAAGTCATTTTCCAAGTAAGTATTAGAAAGTCATTTGCTGGTATGCATGTATTTAACTGTTAAAAGGGGATTTTTTTTCTTTCAAAAACCTCTCTTTATAATCCAATTTTTTTCATAATTTTAGGATCGAGAATATGAGGTAATTATCATTTGAGCAACTCTCGGTTATCCCTCTCTATATATAGCAAAACATTGAAACTGGTTAAAATCACTTCCCCTTGAGGATAGTTTAAGTTATGTATATATAAATTAAGTTTGATATGATAACTCACAAATAGAAAGAATAACCTTTTACAATCAATTAAATTGAGCTGATAATGTAAAATATCGGTATATATAACTGAAATATGCATGTATACAAGCAGTGGGACTTCAAATATCAGCCACAGAACATGTATACAACCTCGATTCTTTACCAAAAATTAAACGTGACTTAAAAGTTTAATTTCAATATAATCTGAAATAAGTAGTTTTCATTCATTTCATATTTAGTGTCTTAATTTCACTATACACAAAGGTTAAAGAATGAAAAGAAGATAATCTGTGATCTTAAATATAATTAATAATGTATATTTTAAATTTTATTATCTTAAATTTATCAGGAAAAATATTGAAATTGAAATACTTATTAAATATATATATAAAAAAACCACTCTTCTTGTGATAAACTCAAAAAATAAAATAAGAAACGTAATTGGAAATGAAAGAAGTATATTTTAAACTAAAATGTTATATATAACATGTAATTTGCCTATTTTTTTCAGGTGGATACTATGAATTCTTTTAAAAGGTTATAATATAGACATAAAATTCCAATAAAATTAATTATTATGATATACAGGTGGTCGAAAATTGCAAAACATTTACCTGGTAGAACAGATAATGAGATAAAGAACTTATGGAGGACAAGAATTCAAAAGCACATTAAGCAAGCAGAAAACATAAACAGATTATCATCAAATATTTCGGAGAACAACAATATTCAACAAGCAAGTACAAGCCAAACATCTACTAGTCTTGCAGATTCAATGGAAACTTACTCTGGAAATAATAACAACAACAACAACAACAATAATAATAATAATATGGGAACCACTTTTCATCATCAGGGCAATTTTCCAAATGAAAATATTTGGAGCATGGAGGACCTTTGGTCCATGCAATTGCTTAATGATGCAAACAACTAATTAATAATTATCAATTAATTAATTAATTAAGCTTCTAGCTAGCTACCTACTATATGTTAAGTGTTAAGAATTCCCAATTATATTCCCATATCTATATGCTTCTTGGTGATCAGTCTCTGTGTAATACAAGTTTAAACTTTTATAACTATACTTATATATACTAATGGAATGTACATAATTTTTTTTTATCTTAATAGAATATTCTAGAAAGGTATCAAGCTTTAGCTTGCATGCAATGCATGATTTATGAAGACAGATGATTCTAGAAACAGAGAAAATATAATAATCCGATTAAATAGTATCGAACTCTAATCTCTCTGTTTTAGTTAATTTACGTGATACGGTTTAATTTTTCAAAAAAAAAAAAAACTGAAATTTCAGTGATTATTTGTACAACTATAAATCATTTTCTATAAGTAATTAAAGAGAGAAAATTTAAAATTAAATTATTTTTTATTATAAAAGTATAATATTATTTTTAAATAAAATACAATATGACTCATTAATATATACGGCTGCCCAACAAAAATTATACCGAACTAAATCCATAAGAAATCGACATGTGGAAAGGCAATATAACTATTTTGAGGAAATTAAAATTTTGCTTTTCAATAAGTTAACTATTTCTGTGCATGGCGTTGCATGTATAAAATTCGACGTGAGCCTAACTCTTTAATTACTCTTGAGAAGTCTCCACATGCTCCCTAGCACTTCACATCAACCTTTTCTCATCATAAGTATTAACTAGTCGGGATTTTAATAACTCAGTTAATTAAATTTTTTATTCTATTAATTACTCAATATTTGATGTTTTATCTTGTAATATTTTCTCTTAATAAAATAAACAGAAATGATAAATGATACATTTTCCCTACTTATCAAAATTATACTCGATGTTTATTCATAAGTTTAGCTTATTTACGCACAATATAAGGATTAAAATAGCCCAGTTATGCAAAATAACAAATAAATTTTCACCTTTAATTTTGAATTATAACACATGATTGCGTCATCCAAATATGTACTTGAAAAAAATAGAAAGAATAAGTAATAGAGAGGATATTCATCCGGTTAGGCACTTTATTAATTTTACAATATACTTGGGAGTACTTATTTTGCAAGGATATTCAACGTCATTAGATGTTCAAGAATTGGTTGTTTATTAACAATTAACAATAATCAGTATTTCCGCTAAGAAGAGTAATATATATGAAAGAGTCCTCGCAACTTGTAAGACCTCTCTCGTTCTTTGCTTATACTCAATCGAGATTTTATTAATCTTTACCCACAGATACAAATCGACACTTGTTTTCACGATTTTATTATACAATTTACACTCCCTAATACCGTTCATGGAATAGTAAAAAGTGAAAAAAGAACTTTTTTTGTCTTAAAAAAGAAAAACTTGCAAAAACAGATAACACAAACGCAAGAAGTAGATGCCCGGTGAAACCACACAATGGTGGTTAGGCAGAACATAATTACTTAAATTTCATATTCATATTAATTTCTTTTTAAGTATCTATAAATGATTAATTAGAACTCAATAAATAAAATATTGAATGACAAAAAAGACATGGAAAAATCACGAATTTTGGTAGGAATGCTTTCGCAAAAATGCGCCCATTTCATTTAATCTTTTATTTTTGTCTTCAAAATTTGTTGGTCTATAATTATTTTTTTTTATCCCAGACACTTAAAGTAAAAAATAAATAGTTGAAAATGTCCGCAGCAAAAACAAAAAATATCGCAAAGATAATTTTTTTGTTTTACAAGACATAAATTTAGTTGAAGTATATTATGTCCAGGCATAAGTCACGCGATATAAGTTACCCCTCAAGCATAAATTCAGTTGCATTTATAAATTACGTCGTAAAATAAGCCAAATTATTCCAAACACGAAAACTTTGGGGAAAAAAAAAATCAACTCTAATACTACCCAGGACAAAAGTTTAGTGGCCCAAGTTATATCACAAGACATACAAAATATGTTACATAACGTCAAATTTATTAGAAAAGTTATATTACGAATTTGAAAGATAAAAACTAAAAATTATTAACCGAACTTATTTTGTTACGGTACAAATTCACGTAAGTGGAATATTGTTGTGGGCTTTAATAGAACGAAGGTGATACGAAATATATTCCCCACAATTTTGGTCCGCCCATTATTTTTCATCACATGTTTGTCGAGGGTATAAATTATGAAGTAATAAAGTAATAAGCAAAAGGAGTTCAAAAAACTTAAAAAGATAAACTCCCCACGTGAATTATATCACATGTTGGGTTGGCCATGGTAATTTTCACCATTCCAAAAGTTTCAAAAAGTTAAAAAATAAATTATAATTATAATATATAAATAACATATTATAATTCACCATTCGTATAAAGATTTATTCATTATGAGTGTACAAAATTAAATAAGAAATAACGATTAAATTTAAAGTACTAACACCATTATATATATCATTTTCGATGTGAATTTATTTTTTGATTTTTCAACATGTTTTAGATAAAAGGCTAAATATTTTTAGAAATTTCATAACATTTTACTAATATTATTAGATTAGAGAGTAGATTAAATTAAATATTAAAAAAGTGTACTTTTGTATATGATTGTGCTCATCTAATTTGTACGTGGGCCGATAGCTCCATGGGCCTACTAATTTGGGCCGCCTACTAACCATCCGTAAGCCATTTCCACTTTTGTCTTATTTTATACTAAAATCTTTAATTTTTGCTCTCAAGACAAAATAATTTCTACTAATTTTCACATCATTAAATCCCACAAGTTACGTTCTTACTTCGAAACCATGTTAATTTTGTCCCTATAAAACGAGAATTTTCATTATTTTCCCTATGAAATCATCTTTTATCTCTATTCTCTATCTTTCTCTACGGTACTCTCTTCATTCCATCTTAAGTTAATTTTTAAGGTAAGAAAAGTAGATTAAGATATAAATTAAACTTAGTTTTTTCATTATAATCTTTATTAACTATTGTCAAATTTATTATTAAAATAAGTAAATATAATTAATCATTAATTCCAATACTAACTAATGAAGGGTAATATTGGAAAAACACTTTTAAAATAGTTTGAAAACTTCACAATTAAGTTAATTTAAAAAATAAAAAATGTCTCAAAAATTAACTTAATAAGGAACGGAGGTAGTATTATTTTTCTTAGCTTTATTATTTTATAATAAACCTGCAAACATCTTCACTAAATCGGAACATAGTTACTTGAAATGAGAAACTTAAATTTTAAAAAAGATTCATCACCGTTGAAGTCTGGTAGCGAAACTGGGAAGTTGGTACGGGCTTTGATTCGATCATGTCTAGTTCAGAAAGAAACTTCAATATTCTTTAAGACTTGTATGTGACTTCTTTTCCTTAACAATAAATCATAAAAAAAAGGGCAGACCCTAATTTTTCTTCGATAGACGAAACATCAATAAGTATATTATTATGATATTACAAACTTAAACACAACACAAACATAGATTCAACAAGATGATAAAATGTTTTTATAGCTTAAAAGCTTACAACAAACATCTTTACTAGCAAATTGAAAAACCATTATTCCTTATTATGTTACTCTTATGTTGATATTATAGCAACATAAATCCCCTTAGGCCTTAATTATCAAAAGTTCAACTGATCATATTTTGAGTTCCTGTCAGGGTAAAACAGTCCAAAATGTCTCTCAGTTTCATCCCCTCCTTTTCCTCTTTCATCAAACATTGCAAACAAAAAAGTCTCAATTTCCCTTCCAGGCTTCTTTGGAGTGCCATTTCCAACATGATTAATCACATTCGTGTAATAAGTCCGCGCATTATCAGTAGTTGCAGCAGGGTGTCCATAAGAAGGCCAACCTGTTTCCGAAACAACAATTTCCACATTAGGTGCACCAGATTTCTCCAGAGCGTAGTACATACTATCGACTAACGCGTCAAAAAGATTTTGGTAACCAGCTGAGTTTGTTCCTGAATCTGTAAACAGGGCATAGGATAGCGGTATATCTTTCGTATTATAAATGTAACTGAAATACGGGTAAATATTTACTAGCAACGGCAAATTGTTGTCTCTAAGAAGTTTCACTATTGGATCAGTGAAACCTCTCCAATCAGGATTAAACATGCTGTTTTGTGGAGGCCATGTATTTGTTAACAAGGCTGAATATGTCGCGGTTGAGACTTTGATTTGATCTTGCAATCCTGCTTCTACTATCGCGTTATGAACATTTTCAATAGCAGGACCAACAAATGTAGCAAGTTGTACGTTCTTTATTGGGCTGATTTCATTTCCAACCGCGATATACCTGAATTTAACACTAGGGAAATAGGCTTTTATGTTATTGTTTACCCAATTTCTTGCTTGATTTGGATCTTGTGCTAGTGTTTTGACATGTTCATTTGGGACATCAACAAGGACTTCAATGTTACTTCCCCTTAGAGCATTATAAACATTTGTGTCTGGATAATAAATTCTTATTTTATTGATACCATTGGCATGACAATGATTTACAACATCATATTCTGATGGCAAATTATCAGCCATTCTTCCATAACATACCCCAACAGAGTATACTCCTGCAATATTTGAAACAATAATTTAGCAAAAAAAAAAAAAAAGAGATCCAAATTAAATCTCAACTTATTATTAATTTGTACTAGATGTGACATGAATAGATAAAAATGACTTTTAACTTATATATATGTACATCGGCAAACGTAAGGAATTTCTATCTTCGCTATCTAGGTTGAGCCAATCATTTTTAAAATTACAAATCTCATTTAATTTTAAATTTAAAAATGAAATGCTCCCTCCGTCGCGTTTTATATGTCATGCCGTTCTATAATCATATATTGCCTATTATATCCTTGATAGTAGTTAATTAATCTTGAAAATATATTCATCATTTATTATAAAGTTGACTTATGAAAACATTAAATAAGGATAGAAAGGTAAAATTATATCATTTCTTAATGCAAATGCATAATAAAAAGATGTCATATAAAATAGGACGGAGGGAGTAGTGCTAAAACATTATTGATGTATAAGTTAAAAAGACCTAATAATATTTTTAGATCATTAAAATCTAAAAGCTAAGATTCGTTACACGCTACAATAAGTTAATATTTGACATGATAATATATAAAATATTTATATAAATGGTATATATTGCTTAAACTCTAATTATATATATATCAAAAACATTCACAAAGAATAGAATGAACCTAAATGTTTTTTTTAAAAATTTCATATAAATTGAGACACAAGAAATATTTTGAGAGACCTGTTATTTGGAGGCCACACATTAATAGTATAAACAATGCAACCATAGGTACAATAGAGAAACTCTTGGTGAAGAGAAAAAGAAGAGACATTATGAAAATGTAACAAGAAAGTTTCAAATGGAGAATTAATGTGAATAACATAATCAAACAATTGCTTCTTATATAGAGAAGAAGCACTAGATTTAGAAGCAAATTCTGGGAACCTAAAGTTACTAATTTTCCAGTCAAGCACTGTCGATAGTAGACCTACTAAAGACTTTTTCCAAACAAGTAATGGAAAAATAAATGGAAAGACTGGAAAATTGAGCAAATTGCTGAAATTTTAGTCATCTATATTAATTATTATGGGTCATTAGGTGTGGCCAGTAAGAAGGCAACTTAATTGTATACTTCGGTTTATTTTTTCTTGTTAATTATCCTCTGAGTAATTTTTTTTACTTTTAATGGTTACTAGTAAAATAGTATGTCAATTGTTGTACCTTAAAAGATATGTCAAAGTCAAATATGACAAGTTAAAACGAATGTAAGGAATATTGATTTTTATATAGCAAAAAAATATTAAGTTATTCATGTATAAATTAATATAATATTTATTTAGTAATTTAGTAACTCGCAAATAATACAAATAATCAATAGATATATATAATTAATATCTAATTCTAAGTTTATAACTAAATATCAAATGGCATGTATGTGTAGTGGTTGTTCTTGACTTGGAAATTTTTCAAACTCACAGAATAGTTTTTTACTTTATAATTAGGCTGGTTTCATGATACCCCCGGGTCAGCAGCTAACACTCATTGAATGAGATCCTATTAGAATAAAGGGAAAATTACGCAATAAATACTATTTGATTACTCATCATAGCTATAGTTTGTTATAATTATCATTTGCGACTAATTATATATTAATTATGTGGATTGACTTCAAATTTTGTATAATTAGTCATATTTGTATAAGTATAATTCGCCAGAATATAAAAATACATATGTATAATATACAATTATTCAACCTATATACATATACAATTCATCTCTGTCCCACTCTTTGCCCTCTCTCGTTCGCCTCTCTCCTCCCTCTCCCAATCTTGTTTGCCCTATATACAAATGTATATGTATAATATACAATTATATATATATATATATATATATATATATATATATATACACACACACACCCACACACACAATTTACCTCTGTCCCACTCTCTACCCTCTCTCGCTCGTCTCTCTCCTTCCTCTCCCAATCTCTCTTTTCATATATACAAATACATATGTATAATATACAATTATCTAACCAATAAACATATACAATTCACCTTTCTCCCACTCTTTTCCCCTCTCTCTCACCTCTCTCTTCTCTCTCGCAGACTCGCTCGTTTCTCTCCTCCATATAACATATAGCTAAAATTATAATTATCAAACTATGACTATGAAGAGTAATTAATTATTTTAAAGTGGATATATGTGAAAGTTTTTCAAGAATAAGTAAGCATAACGACACACTATTCCTACTACACATATAGTATTGTTTTATGAGTAATTATTAGTTGTGAAATTAGATTTTAGGCCTAATTCATATTTCAAAAGTTAATTTAGAGTAAGGATGATTGTACAAGTCTTCTAAGGAGTCCATTTTTTCATTAATTATTAATATAAGACTTTTGTCATTCTTTAACAATGATCAATCTCGTGCAGAAATGATGAAAAATATTTAGTACAATCTCTTAAACTCCCCTCACACTATACACAAATAAGGGTAAAGCTGAAATTTTAATTACGAGTTTTCTAGATTGGAGTTTTTGACTTAAAAGTGAAAATTACGCAATTAAATAAGTATGTACTAATTAATTATTTAACATAGCTATAATGAAGAAATTACTTACCGCTATTAACATATAACCTTATGCAGATTTTAAAATTTGTATGCTAAATTATATAAATTTTTATATGTTTACCCTAGCTTGCTGATACATTTGTTGATTTATTTGCTTCGTATAAGTTATAAAAAAAAATCCTAAATGTATAAATACTTAATTTATATATACTTTTTTTGTTTACATATTTTACAAATAGAATTACATTATATATATTAACAAGCGAATTATACGAAATAAAATAAACAAAACAAACAAAATTATAACGATGAAGCATAAATAGGGCTCCTAGTTAAAAAGAATCTTACTAAATTTAATTTCTTTTATATGGAGTTCCCTTAATATTATATGTGTTAGAGATATCAATTGTATGTTTAAGATACAATTGATATTATCCTTTTTATTTTTCTCTGAAAAGAAGCAAAAAAGAAAAAGAAAAAAGAAACCTGTAATATGATCTTTCCAGAAACAGCCACGTCAGTCAACTTGATCATCAACCGTCTATCACACATCCCTATGCAAAAGATCATATCCTACTCCACGTGTATCAATAATATTGCTTTCTCTCCTTTCAGTGGGTCCCTCTGCCTACTACTATTTTTCAATAAAGAAGTAATTTCCCTTCTAATCCTTCAACAAATTCTTATTAATTGAATTTCATTTTGGTCCTTTGTGAACTTTGGGAAACATAATTTAATCTTGAAATCATGAAAATGCATATTTTGATCTACATAAATAATGGCTGTATATTATTTTGTCTTTACAATTCAAATATTAAGTAATAGTACATCCAATAATTAATAATCCGTTAAGTTTTGAGAAAATTATTAAAAATAATGTATTACTAGTAATTTTGTTTTTCATGCTATTCACATTTTTTAAAATATATTTTTTTATTTGACTAACTAAATTTAGATATCGCCTGATCTGCTACATGATATAATTAGTTGTTTCAGTCTCTTAATAAAAAACTGAAAGAAGTATTGAAAACAGTCTTAAATTTGACGAGAATTTAGAAATGTATTTCACTCATGTTACAGAATTAAAAATATATTTAGATTCAATTAATCATATAAATAAACACTTTTTAAAGGTATCAATAATTTAAAAAATTAAACTAACAATTCACGTTAAATTTATAATTTTTTTTTTTAAAAAAAAGTTTTTGAATATGTAGAAGCAAAAATAATAAACATGCAAAAGCAGGACTAAAAGAAAATATTTTCTAAATATAAAGGTTCAAAGTTCAAACTAGAAATGGAAGGATTTAAGGGCAAAATGGTAAAAGAAGTGGTTGATATTGCTACAGCCGCACGTTAATTGTATGATCCGTAATCAAATTTAATTTGAAAAGGGTAAGAATAAGATATTAAATTTGGGATTTTTGGTCCTTAGAATTTTGGGGAAAGTGGAAATGGGTAGGGCCTTTGTGTATGTAATATTGGGAGGAGGAGTTGCTGCTGGTTATGCAGCTCATGAATTTGTTAAACGAGGTGTCTCTCATGGCGAACTATGCATCATCTCTGAAGAACCTGTAAATATTACTTCTCTTGTATTACTTGATTCCTTACTTTTTTTTTCCTTCTTCGAGCTCAGTTTCAGCATTCTTTTGATGTTTTTATCTTCTTCTTGTTCTTTCTTTATCTGTGTGTTGCTGCTTATTTATTATAAAACGTTGTAAATGTTCAATTTTGTGAATTCTTATGCGTGTAATCCAATTTGAGTAGGTTTTTTCTTATCTGAGCTGAATTTGGGGTTTTGTGATGACTTTTCGAGTCTAGAATAAAGTTTAATTTATAATCACATTGAAACTGTAGCTTCTACATAGTTTTAGGAGGAACGTAGTGATACTTGAATTGGTAGGATGAATCCCAAAAATCTGTTCTGATTCCAATAACACTGTCACATGATAGAAATGCTAATAATCTGTAGATCTGATATTGAGTTTTTAGTGCATACCGCCTACTTGTGAAGTGCTGCTGGAATGGTTATTTCTTTTTCCTGTTCCTCCCTCTCCTCATTCATTTTCTAGGAGGCAAAAAGATGCATAAACTTATCAATTTATTTATCTCTGATCCAATTTAATGTCATTAGAAATAATAAAGATCATAGCTTCGAGTAATCTGCCTCTTTTATCTATCTTGATCTTTTACCTTCCTTGAGTTAAAACTAATGTCATTAACAAAGGAAGACCAAAATTCATCAGATGCTTCCTTATGGAGACAATCATTCAATGGATGGGTAACACATGATGGCTCTCTCTTGTTTGAGCTTCCTGAAGTTTCCTACCTCATCTTCTAAACTTCTGCTGTTCTTTTCAGGTTGCTCCTTATGAACGACCTGCATTAAGCAAGGGTTATTTACTACCAGAAGGTATCTCCCAGTCACCTCACCCCTGTTCAGATTTTTGTCTTAGACATCTTCCAAGTGGATGTTAATGCTTTCTTTAGATTTAAAGATAAGTTTTATTGTGCACTGTAACTTTGGGGAAATATCCTACAAGCATTAATGGTGGAATAATCCCTGGCTCTAGTTACAGTCACTTAACAAGAGTTATCTGGATGAATTGTTTCTTCTTTTCTCTCCTTTGTTCATTATTTTTTAACCTTTTGAGATTTTATTCTATGCAGATCCTGCACGTCTGCCTGCTTTTCATTGTTGTGTTGGTTCAAATGAGGAAAGGTTGACACCGAAGTGGTACAAGGAAAACGGTAAATTTTAAATATCTTTTGCTTCCATTGGCTTTAAATATTTTAGCAGGCGTCATTGTAATTGATCAATTTTTATTTATGGTTGTCATAGATATATTTAGAATTGTCCAAAGTGAGCATTGCAGTTACTGACTGCCTTGAACGTATAAATGTTATTGAATTACTTGCATAGAGGTTTCACACTATGTGTTATTCTATTGTAGTTGATGTTGCAGCATCATTTTGTTGTTGGCATTTGCTTAAGGAATTAAAAAATCCAGAAGTAATCACATATACTTGACGACATGCCCATACACCTCATTTAAAAAATGTCTGAAGGATTACAAATTAAGAGCTTAACTGGACTGTTCCAATTAGTTTAATTCATCACATATGGATGTCTTCAGGGTCAAGTTTGATGTTTGTCTCACCTTTTGTATGACTACCTATTGAGAGGATAGTTGTTTCATAAAAGAAGAAAAAGGATTAACCTTTTCATTCAGAAGGTCATCTTTGCTTGATGTACTAGAAACCTTGTTATATAGGAAGACCATGAACTATTTCCTGATATTTAATATCTTCTTACGTTTCATGTTTAGCCAACATTTTGAAAGATTAGAATCAGGGGAAAAGATTTTGAGACTGAGATCCATGCTTTTCTTGGGCTGTAATTAGCTGCAGCAATACTGGTTTTTAAATCACGTAAAATGAAGCTTCAATAGCCATAGTCATCATAAGGTTTTGGAATTGATCTCTTTTCATGGAATGCACTAGCTGGGAACGGCAACGAAAAAATGCTGCTGGTATATGGCATCAGTGATCAGAATATGTTATTATGTTGAGCTATTTCTTTTTTTTTTTTGGTTACTTTTTAGTGCAAAAGAATGAGGTATTTAATATCTTTCCAAGGATATTGATTAGTCATTGATTGTTCTATTGCCTTTAGGCATTGAGCTGGTCCTTGGAACTCGTGTAAAATCAGCTGATGTGAGAAGGAAGACATTGTTGACCGCAACCGGTGAAACCATAACCTACAAGATTCTCATAGTGGCAACTGGTGCTCGGGTATCTAATTTATCTTCGGGCTCTTCTGCTGTAGCACCATATTTTGTTGCATTTTTTATGCATCAAGACATTAGAGTAGTGTCCTCTTCTGATGGAATGAATAAGCAGGGGCAAATGCAACTTCAAGTTACTGGGTTCGGATCCAGTACTTTTGATGTAGAACATAAAGTTATTTGCAACAAATTGTAGATGTGAACCCGTAACTTCAAAAATATAATGAGTTCAATGCTAAGAACCCTTGTGCGTTCTACCCTAAAGGTTCTTAGCAATGTAATTTTATAAGTGGGGTCTTGAGAGGGTAGAGTGTATGCAAATCTTACCCCTGCCTCTTTATCTTTACGAGGTAGGGGTAAAGTATGCGTATAACCTACCCTCCCCAGACCCCACTTGTGGGATTACAGTGGGTATGTTGCTTGGTTCTTGAGAACCTTATAGGTGCAGCCCTCCTGGATCTGTCTCCGTTAATAAGGTCTAGATACTTCCTTTAAGTGATTTCCCAGAGAAGTCAGTGGATACTGAAATACAATTCTGCTGTACCAGCTAGGAAAGAAAATGAAAATTCTGTTGTTTCACAATACCTTAGCTTCTTCACACTATTGTGCAGGTGATTTTTATAGTTTGTTTATATCTGTTTTATTTCTTGGTTCCTCTCCATAGGGACCGTGAAAATAATGTTAAGAATTAGTAGCATAAAAATTGCCCATACAATCATTTTGATATGTATCCTGCAGAAACTAGGTGTCAAGCTTGTTAGCATAGATGTTAGGATTCATGGACATTCAGATGAGTAGAGTTCATTTAGTTCAGTACTAGAATTTTGAAACAGAGTTAAATTAATTAGTGCGCTCTGAGGGTTCATGCCAAAAGCTTTATTTGGTGTGGACTAAGTTCAATCTCAAAGACCAAGCTCCCTAGTGAACAATGAAATTGAATTTTATGAAGTCTCTGACTTTTGGTTGGCATGTTTTGTTAGGCTTTGAAGCTTGAAGAGTTTGGAGTGAGTGGCTCAGATGCTGAGAGTGTATGTTATTTACGGGATTTGGCTGATGCAAACAGGCTGGTTAATGTGATGCAATCTAGCGGTGGTGGCAATGCTGTTGTAATTGGTGGTGGCTACATAGGAATGGAATGTGCTGCTTCTTTGGTGATCGGCAAAATAAATGTCACCATGGTCTTTCCAGAAGCACACTGTAGTAAGTATTCTTTTGTGAAGATGGAAAGCTTTCGTTTCTTTTTTTAACTCGAGTTTCTTTAGGTTGCTTGTAAATTATATTCTTTTGTGAAGTTGGAGAACTTTCTTTTCTGTTTCTTACTCGAGTTTCTTTAGATTGCTTGTAATATATCAGAAGTAAGAACTGTGTTTTCTCCTCTCTAGAGAATTATGTATTAGTATAACTTTAGTAGTTGCGTTTTATCCAGAAAATACAAACCACAATCTGAAATCTAGTACATGCCTTACTCTCCAAACCATGCTATTAGTACAGAAAACAGTGATCTCAGTAATCAACAAATGCTATAAAGATATGAAAATTGATCAGAATGTGGGACTTCTGCCCTCATATTTCCTCAAAATATGAAATCATCGATTGAAAGCTTATGTATGAGAAAAACTGATTTGTTTCTTAATTCTCAAAACCCAAAGTCCAAGAGTTACTTACAGATATAAACCATAAATGTGCAACCATTGCTGTTCTATCTTAAGTTCATCAGTAAACAAACTGTTGTTTTTTCTAATGATTTTATAAAGCATTTAATTTTCTTCCCTTTTCTTTTGTTGTTAGTGGCCCGCCTATTTACTCCTAAAATTGCAAGTTTCTACGAAGAATTTTACCGGTCAAAAGGAGTTAAGTTTGTGAAAGGCACGGTCTTGACATCATTTGATTTCGACTCCAATGATAAGGTAAAGCCTGTTGCTTGCTTCACTTTGGTGGTGTTTTCTTTGAAAGCTGTTCGCAGACGTGTTTGTTTGAACTGCTTTTTCATTTACCTCTTCTTGAACATTTCCAACCTCAATTTCACTAGGTACTTTGTTAATGCAAACTCAGTTTATTAGTTTCTGAAAACAGCTTCTATTTGTTATCCTTTTTTATTTGAATAAGAAAAGGTTAACTTTTACTGAAAGAGTGAATATTCTTGAACTCCGTTTAACAAGTCACTTTGTTAAGCTGGAACTAACATTAATCATCATTTCACAATTTTATATATCACTGAAGTTATAATGGACATGATGCTTGAATGCGGGGACCTTTTATGTAGATGACTGCGGTGAATTTGAGAGATGGAACCAAGCTACCTGCTGACATGGTCATCGTAGGCATTGGAATTCGACCAAATACCAGCCTCTTTGAAGGGCAACTTACTCTTGAGAAAGGAGGGATAAAAGTCAATGGCCAAATGCAGTCAAGCAACAGCTCAGTCTATGCTGTTGGGGATGTTGCAACTTTTCCTGTCAAAATTTTCGGTGAGACGCGGAGACTTGAACACGTTGATTCTGCAAGGAAGTCAGCAAGGCATGCAGTTGCTGCAATCATGGAACCAGAGAAAACAACAGAGTTTGACTACTTGCCATTCTTCTACTCCAGAGTCTTCACACTCTCTTGGCAGTTCTATGGTGACAGTACTGGTGATGTAGTCCATTTTGGGGATTTCTTGGGGAATAGCTTTGGTGCATATTGGGTGAACAAAGGTCACGTCGTTGGGTCTTTTCTAGAGGGTGGAACCAAAGAGGAGTATGAGGCTATTGCAAAGATCACAAGGCTCAAACCAGCAATTGAGGACTTGTCTGATCTCGAAACGCAGGGTTTAGGATTTGCATTGACATTGAGTGATAAACCAGAGCCATCGGAGGCTGTTGTTGTCAGCAGTAGTTCGGGTTCCACTTTTGTAACAGAGAAACCTTTACATGTTTGGCATGCAACAGCTGGAGTCATTTTGGCTGCTTCAATTGCTGCCTTTGCATACTGGTATGGTAGGAGGCGTAGAAGGTGGTAAATGTCTTGTTCCCCACGGAAGATTTTTACACGTCGATTCCTGCTGTGTTGTATGATTTTAGCTTAGAGAATTTGAAATACTTGGCCTGTAAATGGCTTCAATTTTACAAACATGTATTCTGTCTTTACAGTATATATCAATACACATTATCCTCAATCCCTCAGCATGCTCTCTTTATGTTCAAATTGCTTATGTTTTGACAGTAGATATTAATTGGAGGAACCTTAAAATGACAAGGAAGAAAATCAATGCTATTGGTGGATACTCTTGAAAAATTGGAGCTTAATATCTCAGATTATTAGTCTCAACCTATCAATTAAACGACTCCAAAATGGTACATTCAAGTTAGAAGAGAAACAGACGTGTCACCATTTTAATTTAGACATAATACATAAATGTGTCAATTAACTTGATTTTAACAGATATGTATGATTTTCAACTTTGGTTGCAATTTAGAGTTGTATCAGTTGAACAACTATACATATATGTCTAATATGATGTTCTACGTGACAATTCATGTTTTGTGTGTATTATATACACAAAACACATGTGTCTATTTGTTTAAGTTGTGAAATGCAGCCACCATGAATCTATGCCATCGATTTAGGGCTGAGCTAAAGGTAGCATGAACTAAAATGGTGAAGAAAGCAATTTACAGAAGGAAGAAAAATAGGGAGAATCTTATTCCACAGAATCATACAAAATTACACAGAAATTGATACAAGGCTATATATATATATATACACTGCTAACTCTAACCGAAGGCTCAAACATTCTTTCCTCGCTCATTGCTGTTACTATCTATCGAAGTAATTCTACATAAGTTAGTTACACTTTAAATAACTGCCACGTCACTAGGCTCAATATAAATTTATATAAGTTTGAGTGTCAATATATGCATACCTAAAGTTGAAGTGCGTACATGTCTACTACAAGTAAATTAAATGATATATTTATTATTATCCTATAATTAACTCATGAGAGCACATGAATTTCAAAGCAGGGCATTTGGTCTAGTGGTATGATTCTCGCTTTGGGTGCGAGAGGTCCCGAGTTCGATTCTCGGAATGCCCCGCTCTTTTTTATAGTAATTGCAGTTTTAAAATCAGTATTAGTAAGGTTTATATAATCTAAAATAGTATTATTATTAGCGTATAATTCGCTATACATATACAAGTGTATAATTCGCTGGCCTATTTCGCTGCAATTGTATAATTTGCTTTGCATATAGTTGAATCGAATTAAAATTATATATATTTTTCTCGCTTTATACAAATTGTATTTCACTGCAATTGTATAATTCGTTGGTCTCAGCAATTTTTGAAGTAAAATGTTTGTAAATTGTATAATTAAGTGTATAACACGAAGATATACATTTTTGCATGTGTATATATACAATTTTCTCTCGCTTTATACAAAACAGAAACAGAATTATACACTTCTGTGTATAAAGCGAGAATGGAGAGTGGCGAGCGAGATTCCTAGGAGAGAGACGCTGGCAAATTTTAAATAATTTTGCTATGGAGCACAATTAAATCAAACCTTAACTATTATATTTAATTTAGGTTATTAATTTGCTATTTTATACGATTTTTCAAAAAAAAAAAACAGGGAACTACATATTGACCTTATCAACACAATTTTTCAATCCCCTTATCCTAATTTTTGTATCTCCCTCTTTCACTCTCCCAATTTCTCTTTAGCTCAGCTACAATGGCTTCCACATTATCCACAATTACCCTTCGTTCTCCCTCTCCTATTTCTCCAGCAACCGCAAGCTCCACGCACGCTTCAATTTCCTTCCCCACCAAAACCCTAGAACTTCCCATTCGCACTCCCAAACTGTACCACCGCCGGGCAACTCTCGTCCGCCCTCTCGCCGCCGTCGAAGCACCGGAGAAGGTAGTCCAGCTCGGAGATGAAATCTCCAACTTAACCCTCGCTGATGCCCAGAAACTCGTCGAGTACCTTCAGGATAAGCTTGGAGTTTCAGCCGCATCCTTCGCTCCCGCTGCCGTCGTCGCTTCCCCTGGTGGCGCAGCCGCAGATGCTCCAGCTGTGGTTGAGGAGAAGACGGAATTTGATGTAGTCATCGATGAAGTGCCGAGTAATGCTAGAATTGCGACCATTAAGGCTGTTAGGGCTTTAACAAGTTTGGCATTGAAAGAGGCTAAGGAATTGATTGAAGGATTGCCTAAGAAATTTAAGGAGGGTGTTTCCAAGGATGAGGCTGAAGATGCTAAGAAACAACTTGAAGAAGCTGGTGCTAAAGTTTCTATTGCTTAAACAAATTTGTGGTAAATGTTCGTTCTTAGTTGTGTTTTCGCAAGAGAATTCAGTTGTTAGATATACTTGTACTCAATTTTCTCAAATCAAGTTTTTTCAGTCGTCTTTGCTTATGATTTGTGATTGTTCCAGTTTTAATTGTTAGTGTGTTTGTTGTTTGATGACTTGGTCTCACAATCAGGCAGGCGAGCAGACATAATCTTAGCTTGAGCCTACTGTCGCACACCTCTGTTGAGTGTTAATAATGTGAGTGATATAACTAATTGGGATCACTCTATGCTTGAATTATGATCCAAAAATTATTGGTTCTTATGTTGATCAATCTCAACAATATGCAACTCCACTGTATAATATGAGTTAGGTTATCTCATTTTGGTCATGAAAAATAAGCTGATAACTGAAATGCAATCAACTGTTGAACCATGTGACCTCTCTGTACTCTGCTATAGTGCAAAGATCACAGGGCTTAAACCAGCAATTGAGGGCTATGGATTTCGCATTGACATTGAGTAGTTAAGCACAGCCATCAGAGGCTGTTGTTGTCAGATTCCAGTCTTGTACATGCTTGGCTGCATCAATTGATGCTTTTGCATACTATATTGTTGAAGAAGCATTTCCCCTACAACATTTTACACATCAATTCTAGTTGTGTCGTATTATTTTAGCTTTTACTTAATTCGGAATACTTAGCCTGAAATGGCTTACAAATATGTGTTGTCTTTTAGGGGATATATCAGTATCCCCAGAATGCTCTCTCATGTCCATAATGCTTATGACACTGGTAGCTGTAATAGGAGAAAAAGGCAGCTTCAAAATGTCTGTGAAGAAAGTAGTGAATTCATGCATTTTTTGTTTCAACGTCAGGCAGGCATTTTGAATGCTAAATCTCATACTTGAAAAGGAAAATTCTAGTTTGAAGTGAATAGCACTTAAACCTGTGACCAATTGACCATTTCAATTTGGAACTTGGTATAAATACAATACTATCTGCAAGATAGTTCTTTTTCTCTAGTAAAGATGATAGTTTAAGGATGGGAATATATCTCATTTGCTCCAAGAAGATTTTGCAGCCCCCTTTCATTAGGAAATCATTAAGGTTTTACGATAAATATAAATAGTACTCCCTCCGTCCGGTATTATTTGTCATGATTTTTATTTTTAGAGTCAAACCACAAAAATTTTGACTAACAATTTAAGATGTATTTTGCGATCATATTAATATGCAAAAAATTATAATTTGTAGTATTTTTTAATATAGTTTTAAAATATCTAATTTTTTGGTTCAAACTATCGAATTGTGATCTTATTTACCTTTAAAAATTAGTCAAATTAATTTTCGATAAATACAATATGACAAACAATTTCGAATAAATAATTCTGAACGGAGAAAGTAGTCTAGAACTATGAGTACACGAATATCGAAGCAGGGCATTTGGTCTAGTGGTATGATTCTCGCTTTGGGTGCGAGAGGTCCCGAGTTCGATTCTCGGAATGCCCCGCTATTTTTTTTTATATTTTGGAACACCACTAAAAATATATATATCTAATTTGGTACTTAGGATCGAAAGAAAAATATATATTTAAATCTTCTTAATTTCATAGATATGTAAATTAGTGAGGTTAACGTTCTTCCAGCATCTCATTACATAAAGATGAGCCCCACCCACCCAATTAGAGGCTCCGAGGAATTAATAAATCAACAGAAAAAGCTCAAAAATATCTTAAATTATTTTTGAAATAGTTTATACTTACTTTTAAATTATATTTCGATTTAAAATTATCCTTCCCATCATACTATTGATCAAAAATATCCTTCTTGTTAACTGAAAATATTAAATGTCACATGTCATGCCACGTACATACCACAATTTCATTCATTCCACATAGACTAATATTCTTAATCCCACTTTTTTCCCTCATTTCTCAATTTCCATTTGAAACCAATTTCACGCCCCCATTTCCCCTCATTTCTCCATTTCCCTTAGAAACGATTTCATTCATTTCCCAAAAATTTCACTCATTTCTCCATTTCCCTTAGATGGATTAAAACTTATTTGAAATCATTTATGTTGGAGAGTCCTAACTAGAAAGTAAACTCTGTAATGGAAAAAGAAGTTAGTTTTCAGTATTTTCACACTGTAAATGGATAGATGATAACAGAATTTCAACTGAAAATAGAAGTAAAACCTAGAGATTTAATGTCTTACTTGACTCTAGGAAACTTGATTATTACTTCTCAGGAAAATTTTAAAAATATGAGAAATTTTGTGAGGAATTTTCATGAATTGCACTCTACATAGTTAGTTATAACTATTCTAGACAGTTACATCAATGTAAATGAATTATCCAGTAACATTATTCACTATAGTTTGAAAAACAAACACTTGCCATTACTCAATCCACTAAGCCATGAAATTGAACATGTAAACAGAAATAAGCTAAAACTAAGACAATGTTACTGCAATGAGTGGAAAATTAGGGAGATGGATTAAATCATTTATAAGGGAATTAGAGAAATGAGGGGGAAAGGGGTGGGTGAAATGGCGGCTTCAAATGGAAATTGAGTAATGAGGGGAAAAATTTGGGATCAGGAGTATTCGTCTATATGGAAATGAATGAAATTATTGTGCTTACGTGCATGTCGGTATTTATCAGTTTCAGTTAATAAGAAGGGTATTTTTGATTCAATAGTATAATCAAAAGGATAGTTTTGAATCGAAATATAGTTTAAGAATATATATGAGCTATTTCAAATAGTTTAAAGGTATTGTTAAGCCTTTTTCGTAAATCAAATAATATTCAACGGAGAGCCTTAGTGATTACTTTCTCCGTTTAAAAAAGAATGTCCATATTTCTTTTTTAGTTTGTTTAAAAAAGA